ATCATGGTAATCAGAAAAATAATCCCAGACACGTGTTTTCATTTTGCATAAAGTCAAAAGTAATCGTGTAATTTATAATGATTTACAATTCACTTTTTGCTTTTTATTTAATATTATTCTGAGACTTTTTACTTAGTTATGTTATTACATTATACAATGTATATTAAAAGTATTTTTAAGTTAACCAAAAAAAACTAACTAGACCCAAAGTCTATACATCTTGATGAACTGCTATTCAGTTATGATAGATATTCTGAAGCTGTGGAGCTTTACATAAATTTTGGTGTGAGATGTTTTTGTTTCCAAGATTTTTATAATAAAGTTAATAAAATTTTAAAGTATTTAAATGTCTTAAAATATTCTGTAGATCAGTGTTAACAGTAGAACAGAATTCTACTATGGATATATATTCTATTAGTTTCTCAGTTTGCTTGTCAATGGAGAGATATTTACATTTTTGCTAATTTTTAAAGATTGTTGTGAAGAATATTCTAGTAACTTTTATTGTCATTGTATTCCTGAGGTTCCTTACATGGTAGAATTTCTGAGGATATATATATGTGTGTGTGTGTGTGTGTGTGTGTGTGTGTGTGTGTGTGTGTATCTTCATGTATATATACATATATATGTATATATGTATATATGTATAAGCTTTTAATAGCATTGCCAAATTTCCCTCAAGAGAGTTTATTGCAAATATATTTGCAAGCAGCAATAGAGAATACCTATTACTGACATCTTCATTCATAATTATACTAAAGGAAGGCATTATCATTTAAAGATGTTTGTCAAAATATGACACTATCATTTCAGTTTACTTTTTAAAAGTTTTATAGACATGTTTAGTCTGCCTTTAAGCTTAGAGTTGGTCATTTGAAAGATTTTCCCTGCCCAAAAGTTGAAAAAGCTCCCCACATGTATTTTACATTTTAAGGTTGTATGGAGGAAGCTAAAGAGGCAGCTGAGTGGTTAAGAGCATTTGTTGTTCTTGCAGAGGACGGGGTTCTATTCACAACACCCATACCGTAGCTCACAACTATCTGTGACTCCATTGCTAGGGGATCCAACACCCTCTCCTGACCTCTGCAGGCAGCAGGCATGCATCGTGCACAGACATACATGCAAGCAAACACTCAAACAGATCAATATAAAACTACTTTAAATTTATATTTATAATCCACCTTGAGTGTATTTTGGACTTAATATTTATTTCAAATGATTAAAAAGATGTTCCAACGTGGATCCTTTTGAAATTGAGTTGAACTACACACAGGATGTTGCGTCTTGCACAAAGAAATAGCTTCAGGAAGGTACACAATAGGCCTGAGTCCAAGGGTCCTTACATATTCAACAGTCCTCCTGGTGTGGACTCAGGGGCATGTTACTGTAGAGGTCACACAGATTGGCTCAAGCCAGGTGCTGATAACCTTGGTTTGTGAAACATGGTGTCAGCTTGGCCTATTATAACTCCCTGGATAACAATCTTGAAAATTAAATTTCCTCATCTACAGTTTGCTTCCAACATAGGAGGCTGTGCATATTTGGTCCCATAGGAATAACCTCATTTTAATTCTGAAACTAAAAGTATGAAAGCTAAAGAGATAATTAATTTTGAAGTCTCAAATTAATTCTTAATCTTTCTTGGCATTTACAACAACAACATTGATTTCTATCAGGATTTTTTAATGTAAATAGCTATATGATAGAACATAGAACTGCATTATCCAATTCACTTTAAGCTGCCACTAGATGAGATCATTAAGTCATTGCCAAACTAATGTGTACTTATATCTAGATAACCATGACATTATCTGAATTTGAGTCAATGGAATGTCTATTTTTGAATTAAAATGTATGCTATTAAATATTGCAAACTGGTAGTAGTAAGCAAACAAATTCAATAACATTTCTCTATGTATATTCACAATAATCAATTAGAAAACATAATTTATGACACAGTGAAATTATTAGATTTGTAAACTACCCAGGAATAATTCTAACAAAAGATGTGCATGGCTTATACATAAAATTGTTACGTATTATTAAATAATTTAAAAGTCCTGAAAGATAAAAAGGTATACAATGTTTGTGAATAAAAAACTAAATAGTATATCAGTCTCTAGTAATTAGATCAATTCCAGCTAAAATGTTGTGAATACAATTTTTTGTATAAATAAATGTGATAATACAAAGTTAATACATAATAATCCAAGATTTATAATAGTCTTCAATTACTTTATACAAATTAAACTGAATATTGTATAAATCCAAAAGAAATAGTAGGATAGCAAAAAACAGACAATTGGTTGGATAAAACAAATCTAATTCAAATTAAATTGTTATATCACTTGAATCAAAAATATATTCCAAGACAACTAAAAGCTTTGATATTTGAAACCATTCAAAGTAAAGGAAGAAAATAGAAGTTTGTTTTCATTCCAGGATAGGAAGAAATGTTCTAGAAACTACGAAACACAAAGAAAAATTATAATTTTTTCCATATTAAAATTTAAAACTCCTGTGTATCCAAAAATACCACAAATAAGGAAAATGGAAAGTTTGAACTGTGAGGAAATTGTTGGAAACTATAATCATATTCATGGCAGTAGGTAATTTCTAAGAAAAGTAAGAAGAAACAGGGAAGTTGTTTCTTTTTTTAACAAAATATATAAAATGAATAGTCAAAAAATGCATTATACTAAGATTTGAAAAGCTGAATGAAGAGTGTGTGCATGTTCAGTACATGTTTAAAATGCTGTCACTTGAAGGGAAGAATTTGCTCTAACCTTCAGGATTTATTTGTAAAGAAACAAGCATATCTCACTACAGAAGCTCTAGTATCCCTAGTAATCTCAGAGTTTGGGTCCTTTTATTGTCATTTTTACAATGCTACCTAAGGTATAAGTTTAGGAAGAAATAGGTTTAGAAAATAGCAAAGGGAATATAGTGGGGATTTTATTTTGCTTTGGGTTTGGAGATTTTGTTTTGTTTTGTTTTGTTTTGTTTTAACTTCTAGAACTTTCTTACAGGAGCTAGAGTTATCATAACTGTTCCAGAAACAATGATTCCTCCAGACACATGCAGACTCTGAAAACTATGTTTCCAAACTCCTATATAATCTGTAGAAATTTTATAAATACATATTTCCTATCATTGGTCTGATTACCAGACCTGCTCATCTTTAGCTCATCATCTACGCAAAGCAAAACTAGAAATCATCATCCCATTCTTTGCATGGCAATGCCCAGCTCTGCCAACCACATGCCTCCATGTCATGCTTCCTCTTTCACAATACTGCCTGCCATTTTTATATATACATTTAAACCTCTACTATGTAAATAATCACAGTAAATTGTGTCCTAAGTAGAGAAGGCAAAAAGTCATAACCATAACATTACAGAAACTTGAGTCAAATTGTTGGAGCTACTTTTCTCAGGCTGTTATCAGTCTTTACCAAGCCAAACTAACTTTTAAGGTGTCCTCCCGCCCCCCTTGGGTTGATAGGTGGGGCTGGAGAATTGTCTCAGAGGTCATGAATGCACACTGCTCTTGCAGAGAACCTGAGTTTAGTTTCCAGTATTCAGGGTGCCTTACCTTGCTGAGCCTGAAATATGGACCCCCTCATTCAATCACATTTGCATCAGCTGTCTCTTGTTGATGTTTTCCTTCACTGGTTAAGATTTTCTTCAATTCCTTTTCACAAGTCAGAAGCTTAGCTGGGTGATGTCTTGCTCTGAGGTCATCACTTTATACCATTTAGCAGCAGCCTCTTCTTTAAACATTTTGTCTCCTTGAACAAAGGACTCTGCTCCACTATACTTCCTGGTGCTCCTTTTCTCCTCAAACTGTATATTTTGTATTTTTCCTTTCTCAGCTTGCTCCCTTGCATTATAGATCTTAAGAGTGACCACTAATAACCACATGACACAGTCAATACTAAATTGACTTGAAATCTCCTATGTTAACACCATTAATCCAAAAACTCTTCAATTTAGCCTCAGGCAGAATTTTTTGAACAAGGGCAGAAAGCAGCCATAGTCTTCACTAAAGTATCATAAGAATGGTCTCTAGGCCACTTATTAACATTTTTCTCCTCTCAAACCTCTTGAGCCATACCCCCACAGTCCAAATCACCCCCAGGACTGTCTTCCATGCTTCTTTTGGGATGGCCCCTTGAGCACCACTTAAAGCATTCACTGGCTTTTCTAGTCCAAAGTCCCAAAGTCTTCCCTATCCCTCCAGCAAACATGATCAGGCCTGTGACAGCAATACCCCACTCCCTCCTACCTCTTAATTGGTGTTCTATTGCTGTGAAGAGACACCATGACTAAGCCAACTCTTATAAGAGAAAGCATTTAATTGGGGGCTTGCTCACAGTTTCAGTGGTGTAATCTATTACCATCATGGTGGGAGCATGGTGGTGTGCAGGCAGACACTGGAGCAGTATTTGAGAGTTGCACCCTGATCCACAGGCAGAGAGAGAGAGACTCGGCTTGGCATTGGCTTTTAAATCTCAAGCCTACTCCCAATGACATACTTCTCCAACAAAGCCACACCTCCTAATCTTTCTAATCCTTTCAAATAGTGTCACTGCTTTATGACTAAGCATTCAAATATATGAGCCTAGGGGGCCTTGGACCATTCTTATTTAAACCACAACAGTTTGCTTGTTTGTTTTTGTTTTGTTTTGTTTTGTTTTGTTTTGTTTTGTTTTCTTTTGTTTTGTTTCACTCTGGTTTGGTTTTCATTCTGCTTTCAACCTCTCATAAATCATGTCATATATCCCAGCTACCTGCCATAACTGAAAGAAAGCTTTGGCAACTCATTCTCATTTTATGAGACACAAGACTGGCATTTTTGTCTCTTTAGATATATTATCCTTACCCAGCATCACCTATCTGCTGTATAACTGTTCTTGAAAACTGTAGAATTCACATACCTTTTGATCTGATCAGGGAAGAGTTTCAAAGTACCAATACCAAACTTGTTCCTTATTTTAGAAAGTTGCAAGAAAATACATCAAGAATGAAAATCACAATGGATGAAGATGCTGTGTAAGGAAGACACTACCTGTTCCTTCAAGGTTTGCTTTGGGGATTACTAACTGACTGGAGTTGTTCAACTAGCTGAAGTTTAGGAGGACACAGATGGATTCTTTCCTACCTTCTTGTTTATATGGTACACTATATTGTGATTAATTGACTAACCAAATTTGTCACCTGGATGTACTCAAAGGATTACCTGTGATATTATTTATATGTATCCTTTCCTTATTGGTAGAGAAAATTTGAAAAATATACTTAATGTTTTTCACTTGGCATTGCATAGTAAACATAAAATATAAGTGCTTAGAAGTTTTTAGACCTTAAAGTTGGCCAAAGTGAGTATGAAAATTTTTTTATAAAATCAATGAGCATGTTCTAGTCATGTTTTACTGGAATAATTGACTATGCAATCATCAGCCAAAAAAATATGTACTCAATTCATGCCAAAAGTGTATCTCAAAAAATCATTCATTTAAATAACACTCTATAGCATTTCAAAGTATTAGGTTGGTTTTAATATATGTCGTTTATTGAGAATTCATTTCAAACCAAATTGTTTTGGCTCTTCTTGTCCTCTCTGATTCTTTTTATCACTTAATTAAGGAAAACAGTTCATTACCTGTAGAATCTTGAGCAGACATAAATCAGGGAACAACAGACTTTAAACAGATGTTTCTGTTCCACCAGAAACTCCCAAATACCCAGCAACCACTTCCCAATCACCACACAGAGGCTTATATTAATTATACATGCTTGGCCAATAGCTCAGGCTTATTACTAGCTAACTCATGCATTTAAATTAACCCATATTTCTGTTTATGCTTTGCCACATGATTGTACCTTTATTAGTATGGCACATTCATCTCCTGATCTCTCTGTGTCTGGCTGGCGACTCCTGACTCAACCCTTTTCCTTCCCATCATTCTTAGTTTGGTCAGCCTGCCTATACTTCCTGCTTGGCTAGTGGCCAATCAGCATTTTATTAAACCAATTCAACTGACAAATCTTTACAATGTACTAGAGGATTATTCCACAGAAACAGCCTAAACCCCATTTAGTGCCCTTTCTACTAATTGCATTAGAACTACCATTCATCTTGTTCCCAAGATTTATTGGTTGATTGGGTTAAGGGTGCATTTCAGTGTTCACTCAAATGTTGGTTTGTGTCATTTCCTGGAGCAGTACAGGCAGTGCTATTTGTATCCACAGTACATTCTTGTATACCACGGCATAAAGGGATTTGTGGTAACACAGAGCACTTCCTCCTCACCCCACAACAAGAGTCATAGCTGAAGGTTACAGTCTAAGTATACAAAAGCAAATAAATTATGACTATTTCCACTTAAATTGCCATAAAAATGAAGGCTCAACAGTGATATCTTCCCATAATAATTTTAATCAGTAAAAACCATACTCTATAAAAACAGATTTGAGCCTTTCAACAACATCAGTTGTGAAATGGGAAAATGTACTTAAAATGCATAAAATCAATTTAAAACTTGTACCACAAATCAATTTAATAAAGTCAATATCTTAATTTTCTTTTAGAATTTTAGAATTTTAGAATTTCACATAGAGGACCATTGTGTTTTGTTGCTCCAGATTTTCTTTAAAAAACAAACCCAGTGCATCTCCAGTTATGGCTACTTTTCTTCTTTATATTCCAATGTACAGTCATTCAGAGTCACTTTAAAAGGTAAAGGGAAGTGTGTGCGGGATGACTCTGAGGAAACTAGGGAAAAGATGATGGTGTTGGTTAGGTCCTCTCATGAAGCATCTTGCCCTTAAAACCTCCCTCAGTTCTTCACATGGCTCAAAGCTGCCTTTGTGGCTACATGGAGCTTTACCAGCGCCATTTCCTTCTGACCCATTGGGGCTGTCACTGTTCTATTTCTGTGCCTTACAAAAGCATTGGGTGGGTAAACGCATAGGAGAATAATTTTAGAGATATTGCGATTGACCTGGCAAGATTTAAATACACAGGGCATAGCAGGTAATGATAATTTGCCTCTCATGTGATCTTGGTACTCAGGGTAGCCATGTAAGGTGATGGACATCTACAAGGTAGGGCCTAGGAGAAGGTACTTAGGTCAATGGGGGCATACACTTACAAGGGACTGTAGAGCCCTTGTCTCCTTGTTTACTGTTTCAATATGTGATCTCTTCTTCCCATGGGTACTCGTGACATTGGCATCAACAACCAAGGTGTCCCTAGCCACAGTCTGGGTATCACCATTAGACATTCTGACCCTAAACCTGTGAGCTAAATATTTCTTTTTGTTTAATGAGCCTATTTCAGCTGCTTTGTTTGGGTAACAGGGAAAGCTAAGACAATGAGTTCCAATTTCTTTCAAGTATTTTGTTCCTCGTTCCCTGCAAGGCTCCTATCTCTTGTCTTGAATCTCAGTTGCTTTGGTAACAAACTTATCCATGCCACTTAAAACAAGGATTGTCTCTTGCAGCTTCCTTCAGAGCCTCTTGGAACACTTGCCTGTGACACTCAGCTTCTAGGCTTTGAAGAGGCCCAGGAAAGCATGTGGAAAGATCTACATGGAAAGAACCGAGGTCCCCAACTGACAGGCTAGTTGAGTAACCATCCAAGAGCCAGTGGCACTTAGACAAATCTGACTAAACCACTTTGAGTCACACCAGCTGACACTATGTGGAACAAAGTAAAGCTGTCCCTGTTGCATCTTCCTCCAACTGAAAACTTGTGAGCGATTAATAAAAGATGTATGTTGTGGAATATTCCTTTACACTGTGTAAAGATATGTCTCTCTGATTGCTTTAATACAAAGCTGAATGGCTAATAACTAGGCAGGATTTCTGGACAGAGAGGATGCTAGGAAGAAGAAGGCAGAGATGCCAGGAAACACAGAGCAAACAGAACATGCAATATGAAAATGAGGTAATAAAGCCAGAGACAGAAAGTAAATTAATAGCAATGGGTTAATTTAAGTTAAAAGAGCTAGTTAGAAACAAGCCTAAGCTATCAGCTGCACTTTTATAATTAATATTAAGTCTCCGTGTCATTATTGGGGAGTCACAGTATCAATGAAAAGGTCTGATTGTAGATTTAAATGATGGTTGTGCTGACCTAACAAGTTTTGAGTGGTTGTTACATGGAAACAGATAACTGCAAAGAAGAGAGGGGTAGAGGAGAAAAACAGCATTTCAAGTTTGAATAAACAGAGGATGACACTTTCCGTAGTGAGAAGACAGAATAGTCTATGGGAATAGTATGAATAATATGGGATGGATGAATAATATTGCTGGAAAACAATGAAAATTAATATTTGGGTTTAGTTCTAATTATTGATCCATTTATTAGACAACCCAATTAAATCTACAGTTAATTGCAAGTTTATTCGAGAATATACATAGCAGATAGTGAAAGCTTTTATGCCAAAAAAATATTAGATTCACTATTAAATTACTTGGATAATATATTGTAATAACTGTCATAAAAACATGAGTTATTAAAAAAAAATTGAAGATCACCACTGGTCCCTGTCTTCCCCAGGAAGTAAATTACCTTAAAGTGCATGAACCAGCAGCATCAAAACTACATTGACTTTCTCCTTACTTCTGAGTTTAATACGGCTTCGGCTCTCATTCAGCAAGTTCCAGTAGAGGTCTTGGTTGTGAATAAGTATGATCCCATCAAGGAAGAGGGAGCAGAAAGACACTAAGAGCCAGACATGATGGACGTTTACAGCAAAACAGGATTTGCCGGAAACGACAGGGCTATCAAGCATATGAGCACACAGTAGCTGTGGTTGCACGCACAAGACCACGCCAGCCAGAATTACAGCTTGGGCAAAGGGAGGAGCTCGTAGAGTCCCGCCCACTAGCTGAGGAGCAACTGGAAATTGATGGCAGCTCGGGGAGGGAGAGTTAGTTGTCTTCAGAGATATAGTCCCTGAGAGGCAATGCATGCTCCATTCCATTGCCATATACCTGTGCACACACAGGCAGCATCATTGGACTCAGTGGGTTCTTTTTTTTAAAGTGTACATGAAGTTGCGTGTAAAAAGTGGTGGGGAAATTTGAAAAGGAATTGGAGGAGAGGATACAGAGGGTAGATTGGATCAAAACACATAATATACATGTGTGAAATTTTCAAATAACTAAGAACGCAAAAGATACCATCCCAAATAAGTTAAGGTTAAGTGAGAATAATTATATTTAAATCATAGAAATAAACGCGCGCGCGCGCGCGTGTGTGTGTGTGTGTGTGTGTGTGTGTGTGTGTGTGTGTATGTAATGGTGATATACCTATTAAAGGATGTCTCCTGAGATTATACATACATGCAGTTTAATTTAAAAGCTCACTGTGTCATACAAGGTAGCCACATGACAACCACATTGGCCTCTTTTTTCTTCCCCAAACAAGCAAAACCCCCAAGTGATCTGTCCCTTTAGCCAATAATCTGAAAGAAAACCAGCAGTGGAAGGAGCAGACACGCCTCTGTTTATTTATGAAGACCCAAACCGTCTAGAGTGTCGACCCTTGCGTGACTGAGGCTCCTCCTGCCGAATGGTTTCCAGTAAGTGCCTTCTGCTAACCCGTTGATAGGGAGGTTTGCATTTTGCCCTCTCTCCACTCTGCTAAGGAGAAACATGACAACTGCTTTTAATAAAAGCGCCAGTAAATAGACTCTGAAAGTTGAAATTGGAATTATTTCACTTCTTTTAGTGTGTCAAAAAGTTTTAAGGACATAACCCCTAACATCTCTCTGGTGAACCAAAAGTCAATATATTTTTACAGCACTTAACTTTTCATGGAATGGCTTTCACCTCTTTCACAATAGGTCAAAACAGAAAACGTATTTGAATCCCTTTCATCTGCTCTCCCATTAACTGAAAATATTCTTTGTATGCTCAGTGCCTGTCACATCTGAAGAAAGGGAGCTGAAGTGATGGGGGAGCGGAGGGGAGCAGGAAAAGGAGAGAAACTGGAGAGAAACCAGAGGGACTCCTTCAGAAATCTGCTGTTGATCCACCCTGAGAATTAAACGACACTTGTGCTCAGTCGCTGTGACTTACAGCTTCTGTACAGAACACCACACAAATAGATGCGCGTGCCTCTAGGGTTTTTATTTCACAAATTGGGAAAACGAAATTTGTACAGGGGAAACGTGATTAGAAACATGAAGCCAGTCTCTTCTCTCAACACACGGATGTTGTCACTGGTGGGCTTCGTGATATCGCTTTCATCAGGGCCACCACCCTAACAGGCTAAGAATCTAGATGTCACTACGTCCCGCTGTTAAACGTATGACAACCATTTGAGTGCCCTGCGATGGTGATTAACAACTCTCCATAGGATTTAGCTTTAATTTGCAAAGCTTCCAAAAGTTGAAGTTACGTGTAACCGAGTCCTGCTCGCTGTGCTGTACAATGCCCCACAGTGGGTCTCAGGGGAGGCTGTGATAAAGATCATGATGAGCACTTCAGTGACCACACGTAACAGATACACTCTGGGCTTTCTGTGTACTTCATTATCGTACCGGATGCATTACGCCAGGCACAAATGGGAGCTCTTTTCCAAATAAAGAAGCAGAGGTTGAGTAATTCTGTAAGGAGTCAATTCAGGGTCTCAACTCTAAATAATCTCTCATGATGCCCACTTATACACACAAATATTGCCTGTGCTAAAAAATAAAAAAATAAATAAGAAATAAATAAAAAAATAAAGTTGCATATGTGGCCAGTATCACAGTGGCAGTTGGTGGACAGTACAGGAGTTCCCATGTTTCTTTAGATAAACCGACCTTCACAATTCTCCTTCGGAGGGACATATGGGGAGAGGCTGGAGGTCAGGAGGAAGGGGAACTGTAAGGTAAAGGGGTCAGCCAAAGAAACCCACCTGACCCTGAGACCAGAGCCAAAGAAACCCACTTCGGCCCTGAAATCTGCCCCTGACCAACTGAACATGAAACAAACCAATCCCTGAGCAGATAACCAACCAATCCCTGAGCAGGAAAATCTAGCCAATCTGAGCTTGTCCAAACTCAAGGGCATCAAAACCTGACCAATTCCCATCCTGAAAGTCTCCACCTTGGAAAAACTCCACCCTTAAGAAGCCCTATATAAGCCGAAGCCCATTCAATTTGCTGCTGCCTTTTTCCACATGACAGAGGTAGCGGCTCTCTTGGATTCTTCCCTCCCGATAAATCTCTTGCATGAGGTTTGGGTGAGACCTTCTTTCGCTGAAATGGAGTGAGGCAGAGAAGTAACATCTTTCCCAGGGAAGAGCGGAGCAAAGCTGTTAAACTCTGGGGGACCTGAGCAGAACTGTTAACTTTTCTGGGGAAACCCTCGCCTGCAGGAGCAGAGTTGTTGTTACATTAGGGAAACCTTTTTTTTTTTTTTTTTAGAAACCTTTCCCTGGAGCAGGGCTGTAAGCTGCTACTGGTGACTGTGGCACTACTCCCTGGCTCTGGACTGCCAGGGCCCCTTTCCATCTGAGCTGCAAAGCTTATAGGAACAAGAGGGAGTAGCGGGGTGGTGTGATTAAAGTATATTCCGTACATGTGGAACAACTTTTTGTAGGTGTGCAAGACCTGGAACTCATGTGATCTTTCTTTATTGAGGTCAACATGGTAAGCCTTATAAGTTGTGTAGGGCCCCTCAAGATACCCAAGAGTAAATATTGAATCACAGAATTGTGGGACGCGATTAATTCTGCACACTCAATATCAAGCCTTGGGTTTGATGTTAGGGATATGTCAATCCTGACACGCAGTTTCCTGATCCTCACAAGCCCAGAGTGGTACCTCAATGTACCATTTCCCCAAATGTATCATTGCCCTGAAGGTACCATTGCACAGAACCTACCGTTCGTTGCATAGACTGTACCGTTGCCCTGAACATATGTTGCCGGAAACATACCGATGCCCAGAAAGTACTGTTGCACAGAACATACCGTTGCACAGAAGGTAACTTTGCACAGAACATATGGTTCCCCAAATGTACATTTGCACAGAACAAACCTTTGCACAGATCATACCGTTGCACAGAACATACCGTTGCCCAGAACATATTTTTGCACAGATCATACCGTTGCACAGAACATACCATTGCCCAGAACATAGTTTTGCACAGCAAAACAAACTGCAATACTGTCACTGGGGTGAGGAAGAAAGCAAACACCACCAATCACTTGGAGGTTCCAAATTGCTAGGGCTGAAAATAGTTAAACTGGCAAAAATTTAGTGAGTATCGGGTTACCTTAAAGCAGACAGAAATTCTGATATATCCAGGGATAAACAGGCTCCCTCTTTCCAAAATAAATGTCAAAATATCATTTTGTTAGGGGTCCCCAAACAGAAGCCGATGCACTTTAAATTCCATCAGAGGGCTAAAACGGAGAAGGAATGTAGGAGACGCCTTGAACATGCTTGGATACTCTTACATACAGCTAAAGCATTTTAATTCCACTTGCAAATGTTCTTGGTGTTGAGTGACAAGGAGAAACTAAGACACTTTGCCAGGAGCAGCAAGCAAGTCTGAGACCTATGCCATTGACTTGTGCGGTTAACTTTTTCTTTTGAAACCCTTGTCTGCTCTACCGTCATGGAACTGCAAATACGTTCTTTTGTTTATTCTCTCTGCTCTGTGCTTCCATTCATGTGTCTCCTTCATGTGAGGGAGCTAGGATCCCCAGAGTGAAAATATTACTGACAACTGCAAAGTGAACAGA